AACTCCCCAGAATACAGGCCGGTGCTCTCGCTGCTGCTGCTGCTGCTGCTGCTGCTGCTGCTGTTGCTGCTGCTGCTGCTGCTGCTGGCAGGCTTTTGAGGAGAGAAGTAGGTAATGGTGTGCGTCGGCTGCTGCTTTGTCGTCGCTGCTCTGGTCTGCTGCTGCTGCTGCTGCTGCTGTCTGATTTGTCTGGTCTCCTCCAGCACGAGGTGTACAGACACCAGAGAGCGACAGCGCGAGTGCTGCCGCAGCAGCAGCGGGGGAAGCCCATCGATATACAGCAGCAGGAAAGGTAGCAGCAGGTCTCCTGCAGAGCAGTCTCCTGCAGCAGCGCCACTGGCTGTTGCTGCTGCTGCTGCAGCAGGAGCCGCAGCAACATCAGGTGCTGCTGCTGCTGCTGCAGCAGAACGGCCCCCTCCTGATGCCTCCAAGTATAACGGCAGCAAAGAGACGCCTCCTCCCTTTGCTGCTTCTGCTGCGTGGCACCACTGCTGCAGCACAAGCTGCTGCTGCTGCTGTTGCTGCAGTTGATGCTGCTGCTGCTGCTGTTGCTGGGGAATGGATTTGTAGCACAGCAGCGCAGCAGGAAGCCTGTAGCAGCAGCATAAAAACTCAGCCCCACACAGCAGCAGCCGCAGCAGCTGCTGCAGCGGCCTTCCGCTCCTATGGATTTGCTCTGCTGCTGCTGGTGTGCCTAGGAGTTGCTGCAGCAGCTGCTGCAGTAACTGCTGCAGCAGCACATTGCTGCTGCTAACTTCAACGACAGTCTGCTGCTGCTGCTGCTGCCTGCAAACACTAAACCTTAAATATACCTCCTCCTGTTTTGCCTCCGCTTCCCGTGCAGCAGCAGCAGCAGCCACAACACCCTCATCTTCATCTGCTGCTGCTGCTGTTGCCGCTGCTGTGTGCTTCAGAGCGCGGCCATGCAGCAGCAAAAGACGCAGCTTCAACGAGAAAGGGCAGCAGTGCAGCAGCAGCAACATCTCCCCCCACTTCTGCTGCAGCAGCACTGCTTCCTGCTGCAGCAAACGAAACACAGCAAGCTCCTGGGCTGCTGCAGCTGCAGCCAGCACAGCATCCTGCTTCTGCTGCTGCAGCGGCTGCTGTTGCTGCAGCAGTTGCTGTTGCTGCTGCTGCTGTACCTGCTGTTGCTGCTGCTGCAGCACCTGCTGTTGCTGATGCGGTGCAACAGCAGCAGCAGCATTTCCTAGGCCCAGCGGGGCTGTAGCCGCGGTGCTGCTACACGAATACCACAGCGACTGTTGCTGCTGCTGCTGCTGCTGCTGCTGCTTGATCGCCTGCTGCAGCACGCAGGAAATGGAGACATCTCTTCGCGCCGTGGGTAGCATTAGCAGCAACTGCTGCTGCTGTTGTTGTTGCTGCTGCTGCTGCTGTTGCTGCTGCTGCGGACTGCACGGGAGCAATGCTAAACGAGTCGCCTCCTGCTGCTGCAGCAGCAAAGAGAAGCAGCAGGAGCTCGCATCAGGAGCAGCAAAAGATATGAAAGAAACAAGGGGCCTCTTCCGGTGTATGTACACCACCCAGGGCTGCTGCTGCTGCTGCTGCTGCTGCTCAGCGGTCTCCTCATCCTGATCGCAAGCTGCTGCTGCTGCAGCGGCTGCTGCTGCTGCGGCTCCATCTCCTAAATCTCCAGTGCTGCTTCGCAGCAACACCGCTGGCTGCTGCTGCAAGCACCACTGCAACAGCAGCCCGTGCTGCTGCTGCTGCTGCTGCAGCTGCTGCTGCTGCTCAGCACTCTCCGGTGCCTCCCCCCCCGTGGGCTTCCCTGTTTGCTGCTGCAGTGCGCTTGTAAGGCAAAACTCTGCTGCGGCTGGCTCCTCGTCGCCTGCTGCAGCAGCAGCAGCAGCAGCAGCAGCCGCTGCAGCAGCACTGTTAGCGGGGGCAAATGGCCGCAGGAAGCACTCCACAGATTGGGGTAGCTGCTGCGATAGCTGCTGCAGCAAAGTAAAGAGTTGCTGCTGCTCCTGCAGCAGCTGCTGCAGCGCAGCAACATACTGCTGCACCGTCACCTCGATGCATCCGTCTTTGCCTATCAGCTCTTCCTGTTGCTGCTGCTGCTGCTGCTGCTGCTGCAGCTGCTGCAGCTTAAGCGGAGGATGCGCAATCCTTGCTGTGGCAAATATGCCGTTCTGCTGCTGTCGCTTGATGCTGCTGCTGCTGCCCCACGTGCTGCTGCAGGAACGAGTAAGTAAGACGCCCTGATGTAGCGCTCGTTCTCCACAACTGCAGCAACAATTGCCTGCTGTTGCTGTTGCTGCTGTTTCTGCTGCTGCTGCTGTTGCTGTTGCTGCTGTTGCTGCTGTTGTTGCTGTTGCTGCAGCTCAATGCGAAGGAAAAGAGTTGCAGTGCTGCTGTCAGCCGCAGCAGCAGCAGAAGAGCGAGGCTGCTGTTGCTGCGAGTTAACTGCAGCAGAATCAGCATCAGCAGCAGCAGCTGCAGCAGAAGCCCCTCTCTGCTCTCCGCTATGCAGCAGTTGCTGCAGTGCGTCGATTGCCTCCGTAGCCAATACACTCTTCGGATGAGCAGCAACAGCAGCAGCAGCAGCAGCAGGTGCAGCAGCAGCAGCAGCAGAAGCTTTTGCTGCTGCAGCAGGGACACACCATCCTGCTGCACCTACGTCTGCTGCAGGCAACACCCTCGCTCCTGCTGCTGCTGCCTCCTCGGCGAAGCGAACAGAGAAGGCGAGGCGTCTAAGCAGCGGGAGCAGCAGCAGCAAATCAGCAACATGTGCTGCTGCTGCTTCCTGCAGCAGCTGCTGCAGCCGCGGTGGCAGCCATAAGCACTGCAGCAGCAACGCTCCACTCAGCATAGAAATAGAGATGTCGCAGGCTAAACCATAGTAAACCAGGCGCAAACAAGTGCCCCCATCAAACAACTGCTGCTGCTGCTGCTGCTGCTGCTTCTGCTGCTGGTGCTGCTGCTGGTGCTGCTGCAGAGGTAACGGTGCGCCGTTGACTATGATCTGCAGCGAGTCGGGAGCAGCGACAGCAGCAAGTGCAGCAACTGGGGGCGGCGGTGCTGTGGTTGGTGCTGCTGCTGCTGCTGCTGCAGCAGCAGCAGCAGCAGAGCCAGGGGGAGCTAGGTAGAAAGCAAGAGTCAGCAGCTGCAGCAGACCAAGTGCTGCTGCTGCATCTGCTAGCCAATGCTCCAGCTGCAGCCTGTCTCCTCTCCACGTCTGCAGGCGAAGCCAGCAGCTTTGCTGCTGCAGCACGCGCAGTGCAAACACATCTGCTGCTGTCAACTGCTGCTGCTGCTGCTGCTGCTGCTGTTGCTGCTGCTGCTGCTGCTGCAGCAGCTCCATTAGAGAATGCAGCGGCCACAGGTGCACCTCCAGCTCTTTGAAGCTAACAACATCGAGTGAGAAGCGCAGCGTTGCGCCTTCGCGAAGCAGCAGCTCCTGCTGCTGTTGCTGTTGCTGCTGCTGCTCCTCCTCCTCCTCCTCCTCCTGTCCCTCTAGGACTTCTGATCCTGTTGATGCTGCTGCTGCTGCTGCTGCTGCTGCTGCACCACTGTCCGAGTCTAAAGCCATCTCTGCCTCAGTCGCCGCAGCCCTGTGGCGCTGCTCGCCCTGGAGGCTACCTTCTGCTGCTGCTGCTGCTGCTGCTGTTGTTGTTGTTGTTGCTGTTGCTGCAGCAGCAGCAGGAGGATACAGGTGCTGCACTGCAGGGCGCAGGCCCCCGCAAGAGACATCGAAGTACCTCAGGATAGAGAGCTGCAGCAGCACCCGGCGAGCAGCACCTCCAGCTGCTGCTGCTGCTGCTGCTGCTGCTGCTGTGGATAAGGGAATAAATGCGCCGCCGCCTGCTGCTGCTGTAGGCCCAGCAGCAGCAGCAGCAGCAGCAACCGCAGGTGCTGGCTCTCCCAAATCGCTTGCGAGCTGCAACGCCGACTCCTCTACTACATCCACCTCAGCAGCAACAGCATTAGCAGCAGCAGCAGCAGGAGCTGCAGCAGCAGCAGTAGCTGCTGCAGCAGCTTCTGCCGGTACACCTGAAGAGACAATCACCCCGCCGTGAGACAGAGCAACGTACATCACAAAGTGCAGCAGCGAGTCCTTGGAGTGCAGCTTGCTGCTGCTGCTGCTGCTGTTGCTGCTGCTGCTGCGGAGAGCAGCAACAGCAGCAGAGAGAGCTGCAGCAACATCTAAGTGCTTCACCGCCTGCTGCTGCAGCAAGTCGAGCGAAATGCAGTAAAGCAGCCGCTTAGCTTCAAGGAAGAGGGACCCGAAGGCATCGAATGGCTGCAGAGGAGCTTCTGCTGCTGCTGCTGCTGCTGCTGCTGCTTCTGCTTCTGCTTCCTCCGCTGGTGCTGCTGCCGCTGCTGCTCCTTGCGCTTCTGTTGGGGCTGCTGCTGCTGCAGTAGAAGGCGCCGCTTCATAGCTGTCGTCAGTCTTCATCATGCTGCTGCTGCTGCTGCTAGGTTCTGACTCAGGCTTATTAGGCTCCCCGCCAGCAGCAGCAGCAGCAACAGCAGCAGCAAGGGCTTCTTCAGGCAGCTGCACCGCCAGCTGACGCGCTACTTCTTGAATAGCACTTAGCTGCTGCAGCATTTCCTCTCTGCTGCTGCGATTTGCTGCTGCTGTCTTCGCCTTCATCCCCTCCAACTCTACCCGGCCCCGATCCAGCTGCAGCAGCAGCAGCAGCAGCAGCAGCAGTAGCCAAGCCATGAGCAGCAGCAACAGCAGCAGCACGGGAGCCCCCACCCCGGACTGTTATTGTTCTCAGCAGCAGCAGCAGCAGCAACAACACCAGCAACGACAACAGCACCAGCAACAGCAGCAGCAACAGCAACAGCAGCAGCTGCAGCAGCAGCAGCAGCAGCAGCAGCAGCAGCAGCACGTCTAACATTTGCTTTCTCTACGGCCGTTTTGCAGTTTTGTCTGAAGATGGAGACAGCCAGCGCATTGATATCTGCAGCAGCAGCAGCAGCAGCCGTTGTTACTGCTGCTGCTGCTGTTGCTTCTGCTCCCGTCACAGCAAAACCCAAGCGCGACAGCAGAGTCAAATCAGCACGCAGCACCTGCAGGCTGCAGCAGCAGCAGCAAAAGCAGCAACAGGAACAACAATACATATACCATTAGCAGCAGCAGCAGCTGAAGCAGCAAAAGCAGCAGCAACAACAAAAGCAGCAACAGCAACTGCAGCAGCAGCAGGGCGCTGCAAGGGTGGATTGCTGCAGTCTCTTCTGCTTAGCCTGACGGTTCTTCGGCTACCCATCTCTGCAGCTAGCTAGCTATGTAGCTAGCTAGCTAGGTAGATAGCTGCTTGAGTAGCTGGCTAGCTAGCTATATAGCTAGCTAGCTAGCTAACCATACAGCTAGCTAGCTAGCTAACCATACAGCTAGCTAGCTAACTACGTAGCTAGCGAGCCAGGTAACTAGCTAGCTAAGTAACTGTATAGCTAGCTAGCTAGCAGACTATAGATATAGCTAGCTAGCTGACTATACATATAGCTAGCTAGCTAGCTAGCTAGGGATTATACCTGGCGATGTCTGAGACAGCATCAAGAGCACAGAGATTGGGCAGCAGCAAATGAATGCTGCCGTTGCGCTTGAGGTGTATATACACCGCCTGCTGCTGCGGAGAAGCCATGTGCAGCTGCAGCAGCAGCGCGTCCTGCAGCCGCTTACGCGTCTCCACACACTCCCCAGCTGCAGCAGCAGCAGCAGCAGCAACAGCAGCAGCAGCATTGATAGGCAGAAGACAGCAACAACAGCACCAACAGCAAAACCAACAGCAGCAGCAACAGAAAAAAACATCAGGAGCAGTAACAGCGCCAACAGCAACGGCAGCCACACCAGCAGCAGCAGCAGCAGCAACAGCAGCAGCAACAGCAGCAGCAACAGCAGTAGCAGCAGCAACAGCAGCAGCAGCAAACTGACGGTCTAGGTGTTGGTATGCCTCTTCGACTCCCTCAAGGTCTTCCTGTTCTCCCGCTAGCAGCATGGGTTGCTGCTGCTGCTGCGGCAGCAGCAGCAGCTGCTGCTGCAGCAGCAAAGGCAGCCGTTGATATGACCCTGTACTCAGCACCTCCATTGCTGTCTCTACTGGGTAAGGTGGTGGCAGCAGCACCAGCAGCTGCTGCTGCAGCTGCATTTGTTGCTGCAGCACAACATACACGAAACAACAGCATACGCATGCGGTAGCTGCTGCTGCTGCTTGTGCTGCGGCTGCTGCTGCTGCTGGATATTGGACGTGGCCGGTAGCAGCAGCAGATGCTGCTGCAGTAGCTTTAGCAGCATTAACAGCAAGCAGGAGCAGCAGCAGCAAGACAGGCAGCAGCACAAACACACCAGCAGCTTGCAGCAGTAGCAGCAGCAGCATCAGCAGCAGAAACCTCAGAAGCAGGAGCAGCAGCAGCACCACTAGCAGCAGGAACAGCAGAAGCACCAGCCGCAGCAACAGCAGCACTAGCAACAGCAGCAGCAGCACTAACAACAGCAGCAGCACCACTAACAACAACAACAACAAAACAACAACAACAGCAACAGCAGCAGCAGCAGCAGCAGCAGCAGCAGCAGCAGGAGCGTACTGTGAGGATAACATCTCTAATTCTGCTTCTCTTTCTCGTCATTTGCTGCGTCTCTTGAATAAAAGCTTCGACTTGCTGCTGCAGCATCGGGGCCTGCGCATGCAGCAGCAGCAGCTTCAGCAGCAGCTCTCTGCTGTGGCGCCCATACTGCAGCAAAGCAGTGCGTAGTATGCTGCTTGCTGCTGCTGCTGCTTCTAAAGCAGCAAACCGTTCTCCTTCTCCCTGTGCTGCTGCTTGCTGCAGCTGCTGCTGCAGCAGCTGCTGCTGCTGCTGAGCTACTCTGCAGCAAGACAGAAGGTCTCCCCTGCAGCGCTCAAGGGCTTGCTGCAGCAGCTGCTGCAGCGGCCTCGTAGAATATTGAAAATGACTGGGGTGGGGTGTATACTGAGCTCCTGCTGGTAGCTGCTGCCGCAACGCTGTGATAGATGCTGCTGCTGCTGCAGCAGCAGCAAAACCAGGAGGTGCATCATGCCCTGCTGCTGCTGCTGCTGCTGCTGCTGCTGCTGCTGATGGAGGGCCAGATAACGGCAGTGTCCCTGCTGCTGCTGTTGTTGCTGCTGCAGGTAATGCTGCTGCAGCAACATAACCTGCGGCAGCCGCAGCGGGAACTGCAGCAGCACCACTAACAGGAGCTACTGCTGCAGCAGCAGGACCTGCAGCAGCAGCAGCAGCAGCAGCAGCAGCAGGTCCCCACGCGCTGTTGCGGCTCTGCATCCCCGGAAGATTCAAAGGGGATTGCTGCTACACAAACTCCTCAGCTGCTGCAGTGCATCCTGCTGCTGCTGCTGCTACTGCTGCCGCTGCTGCTGCTGCTGCTGCTTGTGTACTTATCTTGCTCTTGCAGCTGCAGCCGTTGGTAATGCGGCTGCTGCTGCTGCGATTAGAGCGGCTTAGCTCGGCTGTCTCCGCTGCTGTGCTTCCGCTTGAAGCTGCTGCTGGCTCTACTGC